TTACGATCACCTGTAATACCTTTTATTGTCATGTATGGTTACAGGCTTTGCCTTTGTCCCTTAATTTAGAAACCTGATCTCAAACTCTTTAAGAAAAGGCCTCAGAAATCAAAACGTTTAACTGAGTTGGACCTAGCGTACCAAAGTCATCGATGGCGTTGACGTCCGCATGGCAGTTGATGAGTTCCTCCACCATGCCCTCCACTGCCAGGCGTGCAGCCAGGATGAGAGGTGTGGTGCCGTCGTGCATGCGGGCATCCAGATCTGTGGCCCTGTTCCGGATCAGGATCTGAAAGGGAGGCAAGTGACCCACGTTAGTGAAAATTAAGCCGGATAACATGGAGAAGGACATGCATCTAACACTAAATATAGAATCTGATCTGTTAAGCAGAGGCACCGGTAGGCTGTGAGAGCTCTGTGGCTGTGACCTTAATCAGAGAGGTTCTGACAAATTTAACCCCATCTGTGCTTTATATTAAACTGCTAAGCCTCTGTGCCTGTCTAGTCAAAAGTCCTAAGTTATAAAAACAGTTTGGGAGATTGCAATATCTTAACATAAGCAAGAAAGGATCAGAAAATCTATCCAAACAATCAGGGGGAAGTGAGGTAGGTCTCATGCAGGAATTGTCACTTTTCCCCTGCTGGATTCTGGGACACACTACCTGGAAAACCCCCTGGGCGTCTGCAGCCACAGCGGCGTGAAGGGGCGTCCTGCCCATGTTGTCCTGGATGTTGGCATCTGCACTGGCCTCCAGGAGGCGCTTGGCGGCGTCGGAGCGGGCATACCGGGCGGCCAGGTGCAAGGCCGTCTCGCCCGTGCGGTCTGTCTGGTTGTGCAGGTTGGCACCCTGGTAGATAAAATCGGAGATGACGTTGGCCGAGGCATCCTCCTCTTCCTCGCTGTTCCCGGTCTCCAGGCCTCCTCCGCTGCAGGAGGCGATCATCAGGGGAGTGAAGCCATCTGCAAGACAAAGACCACAGACATCAGCGCTACTCGCACCTATACGACCTGACGGAATACCACCTGAATCCGGGTGCTTGCTAAACTAGCTTCAAAAATACACCTTTCTTTGCTGTGCACTTACTCTACTTTGAGAAGCAAAATTCAAAATGCCTTGAAAAATGCAGAAAACCATCGTCTTCGTTAAAATGCTCAGCTCAGCCAGTTCATTTGAAAAGCACCTTTTAGATCTTTCTGCTATTTTATGCCTTTGATTTTGAATGCGAGCTTGCTGATTCGCGGAAAATGAAGTGCACGCAGTTGACGAGCTCTGCTCTCGGATTTGTGGAATCCATTTTGGGGGTTTTAACTTCTCAACACAGGTATGTGAGTTAAAACCAATATTGTATTTTATTATAAAATGGCATAAAAGAAGAGAAGGGTTGGAAGGCAAATTATTAACCAAGCACAAACGGGAGCTCTCCCAAGTGGCCTCAGCTTTCAGTCTTTTGCTTTGAACCTCATAGCACTGCCCTAAGGGCGACTGAGCTTAAACCACTCCTACATACTGAAGATGTTCACAAGCTACACTAGAGGCATATTCCTGAGTATCCAATGCTGCTATCAGTGTCAGTGACAAAGCTGGTTTCTTTACCGACAAAACTGCTAGTAAGATCAGACAGAATCACCTTTGCATTTTGTCTTACTGTAAATGGCGATCTATTTAATTGTAAAAGAAAAACTCTGCCAAAGACTGACAAATGGAAGTTGTGGATTTTAACCTAAGATTACTCAATTAAAAATACATAAGAGCCGTGTGAAATTAGCTTTGCAGTCAGTACCTGGACCGCGGACATTGACGTCCATGCAATCGTTGTCGATCTCGCCCTGAGGGGGGGTGGGGGCCATGGAGGGGATGCGGAGGTCTGCAGCATCTAGGTGCTGCTGTGTCCACTGCCGGTGGTCAGTCTGGTCATCCAGGTCCAACATCGCCTGCTCTTCAAACTGAAAGGCAGAGAAACCACTGTGGTCAGATACAAGTGACACCCTACCTCCTCCCTGCCTTCAGAAGACAAGAGCTGAAACAGCTCACAGCTTATATCCACTAAATGATTCCATCATCGTTAAAAAATGATATTTTGGCATATGAAAAAATGTAACATAATATTCCAGTTAATAATTTACATTATAGTAATGATATGATTGATTTCTCCTCATGATATTGCTAAACAAAATATGCACTTACAATTACAAAGTATTTTAGGCTGTTTTTTTTCTCTTCAGTTCTAATCTTACCCTGAATCTCTTGGTGTCTGAAGGTTCCTCATCCCCCCACTCGTTCTGATTATCATCCATGAGGGACATGTCGGAGGAGTTCTTCAGTGGCCTGTTTCCGTCGCACGGGAGAAAAAAATCCCATTATCTGAGAGCCCGACACGGGAGGAAGATCAACCTGCCCTTCTCCCATGTGTGCTGACTGGGACCGTGGCAGAGAAAAAGGAAAAGGCGCCCCGAGAAAGCAAGCAAGTGAAAAGTTAATTAACAGCAGCACTTGGGTCTTGCTCTGTCACGCAGTCAAAATCCAAGCTCTTTTACAGCACCAATGCTTTTTACTGTACCCCACCACCCAAAGGTCTTAACAACCTCCAACCATCTCTCCCCCACCCTCTTTTGCACTGCATCCTCTATCTTTGACACCCACCCTCTGATGAAATGACTAAACAAAAACTCCCCACCCCCCCACCAGAAGCAGTTTTCCTCAGATCGGGAAGCAGGAGGCGACAGAAGTCTTAAACGCTGGTGATCACTTACTTCAATCCCACAGAGTCCTCCCCCACCGGCTCCCGGCGTTTCTTCTTGTTGGGTTCGTTCACTTTGAAGCCCTCGGGGAACCACAGCTGGCCGTGCTCCCGGCGCCGCTTCCTGGAGACCACCACCCCCACGCCAACGAACGCCAGCAAAGCCAGGGCGGCCAGCACCACGTAGATGGAGTAGAGCCCCGGGGGCGAAGAGTAGTCCGTGTTCTCACCTGCCGCGGGAGAGAGTAACATTCTGTCAGTCGGCATCCAACAGCCAAAGCTCAGGCGTCATGGTAGGAGAGAGCGAAGTGAGAAGACGAGCCCCCGTCTTGCCCAAGAATTCTATTTGTATACAGAAACCAGGCGGGCAAGTGAGATAATTTGTAAAACAAGGTCGTTTCACTCGCTAATAATCAGAATTGCTAACCACTTCTCAAGCAAAAGAAGCAGGGAAAAAAAAAAACACCTCCTTTCCCCCCTTTTCAGCTCAGTGTACCAGGAGACAACTTTACCATTTCTTCTTTAAGAAAAAAAAGGGATTAATGAACTTCAAATTACTGCACGCGCTTTAAGCTGTAAAGACGGCGGATTTATTAGGATTTTCAAGATAACAAAGACTCCCAACTTCTAGCACACTCCCGATCAATTTTTTTCTCCTCTTTTTTTTTCTGCTAACGATTTTGAAATGATAAACTCTCACCACCTAACCCCTTAGAGATGCACTAAGTCCTGGTATTACATTCAACAAGGTGAAGGTTGCAGCATCCCCTTAACACAAGAAGAGGGGGTAGGGGGGTAGATTGGATCTGATTTACTGCAATTAACCATTTTGAAACCTGCAATCTGCAATTATTTAAATCCAAATGCCAGGGAAGGCTGTTTATACAATGTAAATTATAACTATCTTCTCACTGTACAACACTACAGAAATCTCAAAGGTCCAAAAGCAAAAGAATCTTGCGAAGGAAAAGAACACAAAAATAACAAATCCAATCAGTGATACAAAACTCAAGGGTGTGGGAGCCGTTGGTGGGTGATTGCCTCGTTAAGGGAGTGATTAGTGTTCAGAGCTGCAAAGCCTGCATGTGTACTCACTTGTAACAGCCTCAATGATGTAGGGAACATTCAGGTTTCCACTGGAGGCCAGAGCTCCCAAGAAGGCAGCCACATCTGTTGCACTTTGGAAACATTCTGTAGACTGCTGGTAACACTGCCTGTTGTCAATTTCCAAATACACCACTGACCTACAAAGAAAAGTCAAAAAGAAACGTCTTATAATCACAGCGCGGGCAAGTTCTTCTATATTTGGCTTCACATAGAAAGGACAGTTGGCTTGAACTTAAGGTAGGGGTGTAAACAGTGGAGATACTCATAAAACTCTCTCAGTACAAAAGAAAAGCTACAGTGATAAGTCAATATCAAAGGTTTCTCTGCATTTTTAATGACTGACAGTCTCCTTCGCTTGAAAACTAAAGCAAGGCAAGGAGGTTATAAAGCAAGGCTTTTGTATCCTAGCTTGTTGAGAGCACTTGGTCTCCAATTCTTTTTGGCAGCATCACATGTTCAGCAAGGATACTTTCCTTTTAAAAATAAGTCTATCATGGAAGAGCCGATGGAGGGGAACAACAGAGACAGAGGACACATTGGCTAAATGTCTTTTGTCTCCTCAAATATCACCCTGGTGTCCCCAAGCAGCCAAGAGGGCCCCAATCATAAACCCAAAACCCAAACCCCAGGTCCACACTCACCCCTTGATCTGCATCTGGTCCAGCTCCCTGCGCTTCCTGGCGTTCACCACCGTGTACATGGAGTTCTTCATCTTGTTGAAAACATTTCCAGGGATCTCCGTCCAGCTATCTGCTGACCTCTTGATGTTGTGCTTCCTGAGCTCCTGCTCGTTGCCGTAATAGGGGAAGATCATGTACTCGCCCTTGCTGTCTTTGCGGAAGACCACGTTGGTGTGCAGCACCCTGCTGAGCTCCCGGAGGAAGCCGAAGGAGTTGTTCTTCAGCTGATCCGGGAGGATGTGGACCACCAGCACCAGCCTGCCGTCCGCCAGCTTCTCCGGCATGTTGTTGGCGCAGTCTAGACCGTCCCACTCACACTCCGCGTTGTTGCAGCCTTGATCGCAGTGCCCGTCAGCGTAGTGATCCTTACAATACTGGTCATAGAGTGGACTAGAAAAGGAACCAATGCTATTATTAAAGCTGGGAAGGGTATTATTTGTGGCTTGATTACATACAGCATTTCTATCAAGAACATTTGATTTGAACATTTCTATCAACCTCTAGTGGAAATGTACTAAACACAATATTCCAGAACCCATACCAGGACTCTGCTAGGACATATTAAACTGTATTTTCTTAGCTCAGCCACCAGCCTTGCCCATTTATCTTTTTACATGCTGACATTGCTGGAGGGGCAACCATTATCGCCTCCTTTCAGAGTATACTGCTGGTCTTGCACATGGTTTATGTTAATTATGCCAACAACTCGAACAAGAGGAATCATTAATGCTGACACAGGAATCATTAATGCTGATACATTAGTGTTTTGAGAATAAATATTAATTTCTTCATCCCAAAGTTAATGGGAGGATGTGGTCCAAAACGCCAGCTGATATCCGCCAACTATAAAATGGAGATGTCACCTCACGGCTGTGCACTGAGCCAGAAGAAAGCCGCCTGCAGGCGATAGACGCAACACTTACTTGCACTGGCCCTCCAAATTCTGGCAGTCGAAGCCGTCGTAGAGGCAGCCAGCGTTGTCGCACTGCTCGTCGCACTTGCCGTCGTTGAAGTAGCGCCAGCACTGCAGGGACATGGTGCAGTTCTTCCAGGGGTCGTCGAAGTTGAGGGAGCAGTCCCCGCCGTCCCAGCCGCAGGCGTGGTTGTTGCACAGGCGGTCGCAGATCTTGTCGTTCCTGCGCTTCTCGCACTCGGGGATCTCGCAGCTGACCGCGACCTCGGGAGGAGGCGTGATGTCCCGCCCGAACCCGCCCTGGAAGTTGTAGTCCAGGATGTGGCACAGGAGCCCGTTGAAATTGGTGGGGCAGACGCAGTGGTAAAAGGGAGCCTCCAGGGAGTTCTCACAGGTGCCCCCGTTATAGCAGGGGTTGGAGTTGCAGGGGCTATTGGCCGGGTACTGGCATTCAGGCCCAGTGAAGGCGTCGGTGCACAGGCATTTAGGACTCTTGTGACCCAGGATGCACGTGCCCCCGTTTCGACACCGCAACGTACCACACGAGTGAGTGTCGTATTCGCAGGTGGATCCGGTGAAGCCCTGCAGAGACGAGAGAATAATTCAGTTGGCCCTTTATAGCTACACGACAAATTTCCAATTCCAGATTTCTAATTGTTCTGATGTACTTACAGGAGGACATTTGCAGATGAAGCCATGCGGAGTGTTACTGGCCACGGCGCATGTTCCTCCATTCCGACATGGCTTTCCTTTGCAGCCATCAAATACTGTATCGCAGCGCTGCCCTGTTGTACAGAATTGAAATACACATTTCACTTCAGAGAATCTAACTGCACCAGGAACAATTTGCTGCAATACTCAAAAAGTGGTTTTCGGTGCTAAGCTTCAATTAGGAATCGGCAACTGAGCTAACTGAGCCTAATCTTTGTAGACGGCAATGATTTTTCAGCAACTTAGTGATCACGTTGGGTTTAAATTTGTCAAGATTCTTGTGAAAATCCATCTTAAAACTTGGCACCGTTTAAATACTGCAACCGAGAGCTAAAAAAGAGAATCGGAAAGCATGCATGCTGTTCTTGTAGCGTCGAAGAAGAGTGATTTTGCCACTGCAGTGTAAACGCATTTCTCACCTGTGTAGCCTGTGCGGCATTCACAGCGGTAGCTGTTGACAAGCTGTATGCAGTTCTGAGTGCCTCGCGGGTCGCAGGGGTTGGACAGGCACTCGTTGACGTCCCCTTCGCAGCGCTCCCCCACAAAGCCTGCCAGGCAGATGCAGTGGTAGCCGCCCACTCTGTCCACACACTTGCCATTGTTGAAGCACTTGGGCTCCTGCGTGATGGGATCTACAAAAGGGTTGCAATCGTCCACGTTGATCTCGCAGTGCACACCTAGATGAGGGGAGGGGAAAAAGACGTCTGTAAGTCAACAGGGCAAATGTGGTTAACTTAACAAGTGCTACTGGGCTAGAGTGGCTTTTTTGTATTCTGGATCTCCATAAAAACCATGCTGACACTAGCACCAGTGTAGAGGAGTGGTTAGGAGGCTCTTGGTCAGAGGATTGTGGGTTTCGAATCATGGGTAAGGACATTGGCTGCTATATACTTGAGCAAGGTACTTCACTCAGATTGCTCTAGAAAATCACCCAGCTGCACAGATGGGTCCTCTCCAGGTTGTCATTACAAACGGAGAATTTGTTCTCAACGAACTTATCTGGTTGAATGAAGGATTAAATAGAATGAAATAAATGTCTTAGGAGACCTTTTTTATCCATAAAAGGGCTTCATTAATGTGTTAATTCTGTAATCAATCCAATGTCCCAATGGGTGACTCTAATTTTAGACAGGTAACAAGACAGGTAAAGTCATTAACATCTCAAACAATAAACAAGGAGTAACTGTTAGAAATGTGTAGGGCTCTCTCCTGACCTTGAGTTCCCCGCGGACAGGAGCACTTGTATGTATTGATGAGGTCAATGCAGGTCCCTCCATTCTGACAGGGCTGGGAAAGGCACTCATTGATCTCTTCTGAGCAGTTGACTCCATGGTATCCTGGCACACACTGTGAAAGAAGGAACACACAGCAATTAATGCCTGGCATAAAACAACTTGTGTTGTTTACCCTGCTTTTGTGTTTACTTATTGTTTTGCTATATAAGCAACTTGCAACAGTGGAGGTGCACATAAACTAGTACCTTAAGACTACATTTGAAAAAACACAATCAGCTTTTTAGATGGCATTAGTAGTGAAGGCAGTATTTCCAGAAAGTTTCATCAAAAGGACAAAAGCTCAGAAGCAGATGGATCAGTGCTGTGCTGCATGTCGCTGTACTGAAATAAAATCAGAGCAGAATGCTTCACTTTCAGCAAAGCAAAAAGACCTGAAGGCATAAGGAATAAATTTAAGGTCTTGTTTCAGTTTTAACTCGAACGACGGCAAAATTAAAAATGGAATTGCCATTGGAAATGGAACGAACGAAGTCTTTCTTGGACTAAAGTCTTCAGATGTAAGTCTTGGGAAAATTGAGGAATCAGATATAGATGAGAAGACAAAAAGAAAAAGATTGGGGGTCTCACCTCGCAAGTGTATCCACCCAGGTAGTCCGTGCAGGTGGCTCCATTCTGGCAGGGATTAGGTGTACATTCATCCACTTGTTCTTCGCAGTAGCTGCCAGTGTAGCCTGCCTGGCATCGACAGTAGTGGGTATTGCCAGCATCCAGACACTGGCCAGAATTCCTGCACAGCTGCGTCACATCAACACCTGGAGTTCCAAGGCAGACAGCAGCAGATCTTTGTGAGTATGACTGCACTGGGTGACTGGGTAACTACACACTCAGGCTTAAAAGACCAACTGACTTTCACTGGATTTTATCAGAAGCTTCATACGCATTGTAAGGGGGTGTCTTTACCTTGCTGTTTAGCTGCAACCTCACAGGAAACGCTGGGGACGTCACAGTAAAGACCAGTCCAGCCACTCTGGCACTCACAGCGGTACGAAGTGCCAGTCTGCCAACACGTGCCACCGTTCTTACAGGGCGAAGAGTCACACCAGCGCACCAGGTTCTGAAAGATGGAAATACAGCAACTTTCTCACTTTCCAAAGAACAAAGGAAGCATAAGAAACAGGAAACCATGACATGGAGACACGTTTTTATAATTTTAAATATGGCAATCGAAATGTACAAGCTAGATTCCGTTGTGAGCAAACATAACATTTTACCTTTATAAACAACTTTCTCAGTATCTGACATTCAGTATGAAATTCAGAATGCCTCTTTTTCCAGTTCTCCTTTAAAATTTTATCTTACAGTGATAGACATAATTTAACACTGAAACAATATTATGAAAACGTGTTGCTCACAACATTTGTAAGTAATTTACAATGACCATGATAAAGAGAACAGCCTTTATTAATTTTCCTGGTATTCAGGTTGCAAAGAAAGAGATGTACATTTTATGTCTTTTCTGGCAGTAACCATAATTTATGGTAAATTTATAGCAATTGAACCTAGATAATTATTTTGTATAATTTCAGCTCTATAGAATATGGATTGTTCCTTAAGAAGCCAGAATATAATAACTTCGTTTTATGCTAGAATTATACGGTAACGTGGCGTTGCACATGAAGTACCAAGAATATTTTTTAGACCATATCAATATGCATCGTGTAGAGAGTACGTGTAAAATAGACAGAGATGTAAATGACAATACAGATTGTCATAACATGTTTTTGTTTTTGAAGTTCATTGTGAATTAACTCAAGTTGAAAAAACGTTGACACCAGTCTTACAGAAAAAGCATTTGATACCATCTAGCAATTCTCACACTATAATACATCCTATGTCCATTTAACGGGGATGTTTTGCTGGCATCAAACTTTTAAGGAGAAAGTTGGGAAACAGGCTGTTAACTTTGATTCAAAGATTCAATGGCCGCACTGACACGTTTGGGTCAAAGGGCAGAGCAGGCGGTCATGTTACCTGGCAGTTCAGGCCGGTGTAGCCCTGAGGACAGGTACACTTGTAAGTGCCATAGCTGTCCTGGCAGGTGCCCCCGTTCAGGCAGGGCTTGGAGTCGCACTCGTTGATGTCGTGCTGGCAGTAGCTGCCCGTGAAGCCAGGAGGACACAAGCAGGTGAAAGTGTTGATGCCGTCCACACAGGTACCCCCGTTGAAGCAAGAGCTTTGGAAAAAAACGAGCAGAAAAGAGGCCGCTCAGAATCTGGACTTTTATTTTGTTGGAATTCTGCCAGCAGGCTTCTGTATCCGCCCCGTTCCCAATTGCCCACCGCTGACGTCAAAGATTAAGCAGGGAAAAAAAAGAAGAGATCAAACAGCGCAGCCGAATTCAATACTAGAGAGTGGAAGGGATCTAGGTGGTGCCCTTATCTAATTACTTCTGTGTCTCCCCCAACTCAGACAAGAGCTGCATTGCAAAAGGAAGCAATCTGAGAGTATGAAGGAGGTCACGCAGCCCCACAGCTGGTGTGGAGTGACGGGGAGGCCATCCGTGCACGCAGCAGGGCTGGGAGAGCAGGTGTCAAGGGACAGGGGGCGTTACCTCTCCGTGCAGTCGGGAGTGTTGTTTTCACACTGGATGCCACTAAAGCCCGGCGGACAGGTGCAGGTGTAGCCATTGACGCAGTCTGTGCAGTTGGCACCGTTTTTGCAGGGGTTGCTGTCACACTCGTTGATGTCCTCCTCGCACTTGCTTCCCCGGAATCCCGGCAAGCAGGCGCACAGGAAGCCGTCTATGCGATCTGTACAGGAGCCTCCGTTACTGCATGGATCTGGGAAAAAGACACAAAGTGGCGGGTTTCTTACACCGAAATCCATCAAGTTCAGAAAGTGGATTAAACGAAGGAGAAACTGTGCCATAGACACCCTGTCTTCTTTTTCAAATTTCTGAAGCTAAAAATTAAAATACAGCCTTCAAAACTGACCTTATCATGTTTGTGTGTGAGTTGCTCTTCAGGGCCATGGCAGATTATAGGTTTTGCAGGAGTGAGAGTCTAACTTGTGTTTATTTCAGCATTTGTACTGTCCCCCTGGTACCACAGCATGTGTTCTTGCCAATACTAAGTCTCGTAATGAACTGCAGATGTCCAAGAATCACTTACTGGGCTGGCAGTCGTCAATGTCGGTCTCACAGTTGCGGCCGGTATAGCCTGGCTTACAGCTGCATTTGTAACTACCGATGGTGTTCTGGCAGGACCCGGAGTTGAGGCAGGGGTTCTTAACACACTCGTTGATGTCAACTTCACAGGTCTGCCCTGCAAAGGGAAGAGAAATGCGAAGCAAAGAGTTTGAGAACACAACACTCCATTCTCACACACACATGCATCACTGCACAGCTTCGAGCAATATCTCTGGTCGATAATGTTGTTTGTAAAGTCAGGACGCTGTATTATCTCACTATTAAGAACAGTTTTAATATTTTTCCTCCAATAACCTGAAAAGATCCATGGCAATGACTTTATTTACTCTGCAAATACCCAATTTCACTGTTAACCATTAGAAGTAAATTAAATAATTCAGCCTGAGAAGGCTGAAATGGTTTTGAAAAAAAAAAGATAAGACAAAACTTAAAATCTGGGCCATACAAGAATTCAAAGCACGCACAGCAAGTGGCTGAGTCCTGTTCATTCTGCACAGTGCTAGCTGGTGAAGAGCATCTTACCTTGCCAGCCCTCAGGACACACACAGGAGAAGCTCTCGTAGTCCTCCGACTCCCTGCACACACCTCTGTTCTTACAGGGTTTGGGGCCACAAGGAGCAAGGATTTCCTCACAGTTTTCCCCTGGAAAAGAACAAACACCTCAGGTCAGCACAGGTGTCCTACACTCACGTTATATATCTAAATATGATGACTACATTTTTCATGTGCTGGGTTTAAGATTCAAAAGAAGGCATATATACACAAGGTCTCAATGTATCCATTTACCTAAAAAAAGATTAATTTATTCTTTGAGGAAACATAAGATTGCTACTTCAATGACATTTTTATTTCCTTTTGAAAAGCTGAACTAGGAAAATGAATTAATTATTCACATTTAAAGATTCCACTTAATTAAATTTATACATGAATAGATTTCCCTCAAGGACCATCCTACAATCTGAAACTTTCTGTCAATTTTATACTATATTGTGAATCTCCAGAGCCACTTCCATATCTGTTTCCACGGTAACAGGCGAAGGCAGGAAAGCGCCACAATTTCCTGTCATTGTGCAAGGGCTCTTGCTGTTCTGTGAGACAGGAAGCAGGAAGCGGGCAAACAGGAAATGGGTCAAGCAACAGTTCCCATCCCTACTCGTATTATTCCAGATCTGTGGATTTGTGGATTTTTCCAAAAAGAAGACTCCAAGAAAAAATAAAATCTTTGCCCAAAAACAGTCCATCAGAATCTGTTATTAGTGTGGGTATTTGTCTCTAAACTCACTTTTCAGAAAGGCTTTGAAAACATTTGTGAAACATCCTGTAGGCCAATGGAATACATCTGTTTTGTTTACATTAAGCCAAGAAAAGGGTTTAGAGTGATTGTCCTCACCACCTGTTTAGGTACCTAGAGGAAAAACTAGGGGAACTACAGAACTAATTTTTCTGTGTTTTAATTACCTGAAAGTCCTTAACTACCTAATAAAGTCCTAATTACCTTAACATCCTTTGAAAAAGTCTTTCAAACTACACGGTGTAAGACGCAAAGGGCATTGGTTAAATCTGGTTTAAAAATCCCTTCTGTTTTAAAACCTTTAAAACTTCACAGTCATAACAACTAAAGATTCAAGAGAAAAGCTTCCTACCAGTGTAAGGCAGTAAGCAGTTGCACTTGTAGCCAGCCACATCATCAATGCAGGTTCCTTGATTCAAGCAGGGATTAGAAGCACACTCATTGATGTTAGTTTGGCAGTTTGGACCTGAAAAATGTTAGATATAAAGACACACATTTATCACAGAGGCTTTTTGGCACAAGCCGTGAAAAAATAAAAACAGCACCCAGTTACGTGCAGGACTGATGCAAGATCAGGGATACTAACCACTAAATCCCGCTCTGCAGGTACAGACGTATCCACTGGTCATGTCTTTGCAAGTGCCTCCATTCATGCAGGGGTTGGATTCACACTCATTGTTGTTGATGTCACAGTTTGTCCCACTCCAGCCAGAGTCACAGTGACACTTGTAGCTGAGGAAGACCAAAATTCACACCGGTCACCCAACAACCAAACCAAATATCAATAATAATAATTAAACACTACTGCATCGGCTGAAGCAGCACAGCTTTTGCGTTCGAATGTGGAAACGAAGTCCTGATTTGTTCCTGGATCATGAATGCCATTCCAAATCGGGAACGATTTGGAATATGGGACTGCTGGGAAAGCTTCCTCGAAAAACGAAGGTTTGAAAGAGCTCGCTGAACTCCTCAGCAAAATTTGCAATGTGCTAAACCTGAACGTTAACTGCAGGAAGATAAAGTTTTTAATTAGTGGCAGTTAATGCTACTTAGCTGTCACTAATTTGTTACACACTGATGACAATCCATGAATTCATCGCAGAACTATGGAGAGCTGGCGCTTTGTCGTAGATCCACTTACCCATTGACATCGTCCTGACAGCTGCCGTGAATGCATGGGTTGCTGTTACACTCATTCACCTCCGAGCGACAGGTGGGGTCATGGTAGCCCTCAGGGCAGATACAAGTGAAACCGTTTATGCCATCTTTGCAAGTTCCACCATTGTGGCAGGGGTTGGACGTGCATTCGTCGACGTTGACATTGCACATGGCTCCTACATTTGTGAGCAAAGCAGAGGATAAATCACTTGCACTGCGAACAACAAAACCATGTGTTATGGGATTTAATGGAAAGACTGAATAATCTACACTTGTTGGAAAGTCAACTTCATTTCAAGATACCCCATTTACTAAGCTAAACAAAAAATGGGGAAACAGGCCCCCCTGTGGTCACTACTAGGATTTCACTAGGGAAAACACTTAAAATATTCTTCTGAGGTTTCTGCGGATTTTTAAATCTTCAACTTGAAAACAAACGGTATGTTACATAAAATGGTATCCCATTTCCATAAGGGACAGAGAATGCTTAACAGTTAAAACTTGGGGCTTTGGCACAGCAGAGCACATAAAACAATGGAAGAATTGAAAAAAAATGCAAAAGGGAAACTGATTCAACCTCTATTGATTCTTGCTTGTGGTTGTTTACAAGTACGGAAGCACAGACCTCATTTTACGCATGATGAAGCAACAATTAACCCGCCCTCTCCCCCTTCTTTCTTATTAATTAAAAATGGTAATGGAAGGAGGGGCAAGGGGGGGGGTGTTCGCTTCTTAAATTACAATTCCTTTTTTGTTATATTTTTCAAGGCCTCCAGGTTCTGGATAAAAAAAGGATAGAAGAGAGGGGGGTATAATCTGGACCTGTAATTCTACACAGTGGCCTGCTGCCCAGCAGAAGAAAAGCCCTATTCAGAAACCCTCTGAGAGGAGTGGTTGGAGACAGCAGCTCCCTCATAATGAGAAGGAGGATCCTGCGCAGGTGAATCGAGGCAGTCGAGCCTCCTATTATACACGAAGTCACACTCCCTCTCTCAGGATCAAAGAAACCAGTTAAGCCAGGACCAGCAACATGATACCCATGGGAATCAGGGATTTCTTCACTGTAATTGGCGACACTTTATTTGGTTTATTAAATCACGCAGGACTACTACTAAATGACAGCTGTAGGCCTCCACTTTAAAATCAGGCACCAATTCTTTTTATCTTCATTGGCCTCCCCTTTACTTAATTGAAGACATTGTGAAATGTTCAGCAGCATGAAAAGGCCAAACAAGATTCCTCAATAAGAAAACAACTGGATTTTGTATTTCCTTACCGGTTTTTTTTTTCCCCACTAATCGACTTACAAGGTACCCAAACTAAAATTCTGTTGTTTTTTTTACTGTTGACTCTCAAAAAAAAGAAGCTTCAGGTTATCTGAAGAAACCATCCCCTTTTAAAAGATTAACTTTCAAGCTTTTTCAATCTGGGCGTCATCAAATCTTTTCATAAAGGAAGAAACTAAAGGCTTCCTCATATCGCTTCGACAGAGACACCAAGCACCACTGTTCTCTGACCTGAAGCAGGTAACCTGAGAGCTGAATGTTTTACACAGAACCCGAAGGCCACCTGTCTGGCCCACGCACCCAGGGGAGTCCCGAGTCAACGGCGTGCCCAGCCCGGTAGCTCTGCAATGGCTCTTACCTGTGTATCCCGGCTCACAGGCACACTCGTAACCATTGATCTTGTCGATGCACTTGCCATAATCGCAGGGTTTGCTCTTGCAGTCATCCAGGTTGATTTCACAGTTTGGGCCTGAAATAGCCAATGACAGTCTTCTTGTATTGAAGACTAAACAAAATCCCTCAAGATTTTCACAGAAGCTCACTTGCCAACCACACATCACACTACTCCAAATAGATAGAAAATGCCTTACAATAAATAGCAGAAAAGGGAATAACAGCACCTGTCTGCCTTATCAGGATTTTCTGCAGGATGGCAGGTGCCTAACTACTCACAGCAATGGCTTTGAGGGGCAGTTAAGTATTAAACCCAAGCGAGAGACAGGATCTGTCTCAGTCCGGTCCAGCTTGTGGCCCTCACCTGTTGTGCCCTTGGGGCAGGTGCAAATGTAGTTGTTCTGTCGGTCTTGACAAGTGCCTCCGTTCTGGCAGGGCTGGCTCTGACACTCGTTGATGTTAATTTCGCAGAGTCGGCCCGTGAAGCCGGGCTGGCAGGAGCAGGTGAAGGTGGCAATGCCGTCTTTGCAGGTGCCATAGTGGCACGGGTCCGAGAGGCATTCGTTGATATCCGTCTCGCAGAGCGGGCCAGTGTAACCTTAAACAACAGGCAATAAACGTCAGCTTACAGTCTCTCAGACCCACGGCCCCTCAATCACGCTATAAGATGCATGTCAATGTTGAAGCATCAATAGCATTTCAGACATGTAAAATGTATGATTTTTAGGTTAGAAAAAATGTGAAAATCAATGACACTTGACACTTGACACTTGACAGGAGATCACATGCTATTAATACCAAGTAAACCATATAGGACACCACAGAGGGGTAAGTAATATTATTTCTTCTATGTTCTGGAGACAAACATTTACTGATAAATGAAAAAAAGGTTGCTTATGGAGTGGGTGGGTTGTGGGTTACGATGGCATGAAGCCCAGATAAAGGACTTTCATCTCGTACAGTCATTCACATGGCTGGGAACACCTTGTACATTAAGGTCTTACTCCTCCCTCTGAGTGCATTTTGACTTGCCTTCAGCGCACTCGCAGGTGTACTTGTTGGGTCCATCCACGCATCTTGCCCCATTTTTGCAGGGCGTGCTGGCACATTCATCAATGTCCACCTGGCACAGGTTACCAGCGAAACCTGGGAGAACAAGCGAGAAAATCAGCTCATCAGTTTTCTGAAAGGGGTTTCATATTTCATCAAACTCATCAGTTTTATGAAATACACTTAAATAACCTGCCACACCACTTGACACTGCACACATTACTAACTGCAGTCAATAAAAATTTCTTTTTAAAAAAAAAGCCCACCAATTCTGCATTTGCCAGAGATCTGAGGGGCTTTTCGTTTTCCAAGACATGATAAGCATTTCCAAATCCAGCTTTCCCCCACTTCTGTAAACAGCCGGTCAGCGGCTCAGATTCGACCGGAGAGAAAACCTACAAGGCCTCATAATCAGAAGCTGCAGACAAAAGCACGGCTGTCTTATAAATGTGATGGAAAGAAAAAACGGGCGCCCCTTTGTCCCTTATCTTTTCCATAACAATGTGCATTCTCCCGCGTCTCGCGCTCCCTGCCTCAGAGAACGGCACTGCTTGAACTCTGACCTTTCCACCATTCAGAGCCACTGTCTTTCAAAATCCATCGCCAAGCTGCCCCCTTTCATTTAGTGGGTGTCCTCTAGTTAAAGTTACAGTATTTAGTCTTAAGGGGCAGTTTGGATTTGTTTGGATTCTTCTGTTAAAAAGGATGTGTGAGAAAAATAGTAATTGAAATTAACTGTCCATCTATAATTAGAATCCAACACGCTTTTCAGGTTTAAATGTACACTCTCTCATACATTTAAATGCGAAATGGGTGTGTTAGTTCCTTCAGCTGTTTACCTAACCAAGAAAAACATCTTGGGGAAAAACACTAATGATGCACACTCCTAAACTTCAGTGTCTGGTTGTATTTCCAGTACTCTGCCTGTGACTCAAACTCAAGAATGCACCTTCATTTGAACTGATTTTTACAGTTCTACCTCCCAGATCTCACTGGAATAAAGGAATTTTCTCGCTCCTATGGAATCAAACATTTCCAAGGCCCCACTGGGAGTTTCCATGGATATGGCGCGTAAGGGAGTGAATGGAGGCCTGACCCCACTCACAGAATAACTTATTTACATCTCAAGTAAAAGCAGAGACCCTGAACTTCAAGCACCAACTCCCACCTCCCCTTCACTCCTACAGAGATTAACTGTCTATGTATTCTATGCTGCAAACCATTCCACAGACACTCTATTCACCCAGTACCCCCCTGGCCAACTATACTTTGGAGTCTTTTCAACTGCTAAGTTTCCTGCTCACTGGAGAAAGCCATAGGTAGCCTCCACATAGTGGCTTCGGATTTTCCTTCAAGTCTATCGACAGGATGAGGATATCTCCTTTTCTATATCTGTCTTTGATCCTTCTTTTCAAGGGCCTCGCATTTTCTTTCCCTGCCCTTACAAATTTTACTGGCTCGACCAAAAGAAGTAAAGGATTGTTCTACCTAATCCTCCTTCTATTCCTTTGCCCACATTTCCTTTTTCAGAAAATTCAAAAGCTTTACAGTTTTTTTCCAGCAGGAACTATGGGGATTCCAAAGTAGGTTCTTTAGCCAATACAGTCATTATGCTTACAGTATACTTAACAAACATATGATTTTTCAACACTGAGACAAGTGTCTCATGCTTCAAGTTTCCATATTTGTCTTATGTCATCACCATTATGCAAGGATAATTATTTTCTAATGTATTAAACACAAAAAATACTTTTGGTAATCCAAAAGACAGAGACAAAAGTTCTTGCCAGGCCAATTCTGATAAAGTTCTGTGTATGTGTGGACTCATCAGATTTGAAACTTGGAAAGTGCAGACTTTAAAAGTTCCATGATTCCTCGATATCGCAGCTTAAATTAAACTGTTTCATAAGCCTCTCTTCTATGGATTTTTCCTGCAATTTCAAGCCCATCCTGCTAAGCCTTGCCTCTAGGCATGGATTAATTTCTGCCTGTGTTTCCAGTTCAAAGGCCGTGCTGGGGGAGAGCCTTCATCGACCCCCCCGTTCTCTCACCTGTGGGGCATTCGCAGTGAAACGCGTTGATCTTGTCGATACATTTCCCATTGTTCAAACAGGGCATACTGGCGCACTCGTCGGTATTGATTTCACAGAAAACTCCCTCATAACCTGAAGATTAACACATAAAATAATACTCAGGGTGGTTGCAGACACTTACACTTCAGTCAGAACAACAAGAGAACAGCAGTGAAATAAACTGCATGTGGAACTGTAGTCATACGGCATACTGTCTTCGCGAGTGATGACTTTCCCTTTCATTAGAAGAGTTGCTGCCTTTAGTTCTAAACAGTTCCAAGTATGCGTGGGCTGCAAAGGAACAAGTATGCCATGCTGGGAGAAACACAAAGTTGTGTTTCTTTTCTTCACTTTTCAGTATGCAATATACCTTTACTTGTTCTATTATCTCTAAACATCCTGTAATATACACTTGAAATGGAATATGTACTATTGTATATACTGTATATAGTACACCACCTGGTTAGCATAAGAAATAGATCACCGATCCTGACAAAAGCTCTGCTTACTTGATAAGAGCAGCTGAACAGTGGTGAGTGAGGCTAAGGGACAAGACCCCACACTGGCGACAGGGACACCCACTTACCCGGCATGCAGATGCAGTGGAAGCCACCTATCCGGTCCAGGCAGGTGGCATCATTCTGGCAGGGGCTGGAGATACACTCGTTCACGTCCAGTTCACAACGGGGGCCCGTGTAGCCCTGCAGGCAGCTGCACTGGAAGGAGCCCTTGGTGTTGATGCACTTGCCTCCGTGTTCACATGGGTTGGCACCTGTAACCCCGAGAGCATGATTCTTCCCTCCAGTCTGCAACAGTCTGATCTTTATCTTAACCAACAGCAAATCTTTTTTTTTTGGCAGTCTTAAACCTCAGGATGCAAGCTGATTTCAAGATAAGGGGCTGGCTTTGAAATGACTTCAAAACAGAAAAGTTTAATATGACAACAGACATGATTGCTTGTGGAATTTTACCACAACCGCCTGATGTATAAGGCAGTTAAAAAGCTCTAAACCATGTGTGAATTTTACAATGCCCCCCCTGTCAAAAACAGAGTAAGACAGTATTGCTTTGGGTTTATAATTGGGTGTAAAAAAACTAAACAAAGGTTCACCTAGAGAGCACTCATCCACGTCGTTGTTGCAGGCAGAGCCCGTGTAGCCAGGGGGGCAGGTGCAGATAGCCATGCCATTGACGGGGTTGGTGTCACAGTTGGACCCCTTCTGACAGGGGTTACTGATACAGGCATCGTCCAGGTGGCACAGCAAACCTGAATGTGTGCAGAAATGCACAGAACGAACAAACAGGAGTAAAAATAGGGCTCAATACCGCTGCAGTCACACCACACTGCCAAAAAGAACAAGCAGGTTTGCTCTTGCTCCTATTTCACATTTCTTTACAACCATTTAAGAGTCGGTGCTTTTAACTTTCTAATTCCTGCCTGTCCTGTAAACTTTTCTTATCATTTTCCCATCTTTTACAATGGACATTCAGCATGCTCTGCACGGTGGAATATAAAAAAAAAGTAAACCCATTTATATATATATATGTTCAGGCGGGTAGCTGCGTCAGCATGCGTAGGCTGCAAAGGAACAATAGGTTTATTCCATGCTGAAAAAAAGAAAAAGAAAACACAACGTTTCGGCCGTGGAGCCTTCTTCAGGTGTCACCTGACACCTGACACCTTGACACCTGAAGAAGGCTCCACGGCCGAAACGTTGTGTTTTCTTTCTTTTTTTTCAGCATGGAATAAACCTATTACTTATTACATTTACTTATTACATTTATATATACACACACATCTGTCACACACACACATCTGCCAGAGCCGAAAAGCAGCTCACCTGTCCTTCCGTGAGGACACTCGCAGAAGAAGGAGGCCACGCGGTCGTGGCAGATGGCGCCGTGGTAGCAGGCCGCGTTGGCGCAGTCGTCGATGTTCTCGCTGCAGTCGTCCCCCGTCCAGCCGTTGACGCACACGCAGTTGTAGCCGCCGTGGGTGTTGTGGCACGTGCCGCCGTTCTGACACGCGTTGGGCATCAGCTGGCACTCATCGACGTCCTCCGTGCAGAACTGGCCTGCAGAGCCAAGACACGCGCGGGTCTGTACTGCGGACTCGGGCACACACCAGGCAGAGCCAACAAAAAGGCCCCAACACACCCAACTGTCCAGAGCTCCCCCAGCCCTGCTCTGCATAGTCTGGCACAGTTCTTCCTGACGTCAGCATTAAACTACTGACAGACCACATTACAACTCCCTCTTTATTTCAGGCCTCAAAGAACTAGATCACATGTGTTTCACTATCTATTCTAGATACTAGACATGTTCTCTGTGTGAGCAGCTTGACCATCCCATGGAGCAGAAATTGAACAATACCTGTCCATTCAGGACGGCACTGGCAGTTGTAGGTGTTCACCCCATCCACACACGTGCCCCCATTTTGGCATTTGTGCTCGGGACAGTCGTCGATGTTTTCCTCGCAGTTCTGGCCCATGAAGCCTGAAGAGAGAGGACACCCAAGATCCCGATAAGTCTCGGACATGTCAGGGGGTCATTCAACATAGTGCACAAGTTCCTTCTTGAATAATCAGTGCAAAAATAAAACTGCCATTGTTTAAAACATAATCTGTAAGAAAAGGCAAACGTTTATCGACTGTAACCTGACCAATATGCTGTGATTGTATTGGATGGCTGCATAAACATGACTTGTTACAATTTCTGAAAAATAAATGTCAATTTTAAATGAAGAATTAAACAAGGAAATTCGTGCCACAACTGGGCCCACGCACACAACCATCCAACAACCTTTGGCAGGTAGCAAAAGTCGTGTGACTTTTGTAACTTCAAGCCCATAAAAAGATAAATACAACATAACCGAGAACAATCACTCCCCTGATTGCTGTGTGACCAAACTCCATATCGCCAGGCCACGAGACTCACCTGTGGCAAGTTACTGATTTACAATGGTATGGACAGGACACAGGGCCCTGCCCTGACATTCCCACATGACACACAAACCAAATCTTGTGGAGTTCACGCAATTTGACAGGAAAAATTCTGAAAACACTGAAAAAACTCTGTGGATCAGGTAACCTGATATACAAAAAAACAAACAAAATCACGCAAAAGACCCGGGTCACTTACAAGCAGCATAAAACAAGTGCTTACAGGAAACATAGACAACTTTTGATCCTGTTAATCATTCAGACTTCATAAAGAGATAAACTTAATGAAGTCTGAGGGGCAGGCAGATAAGGGAATTAGTTTCATCTTAAAGTAACCCAGTTGTGCACCTGTCTCTCATCTTTATTCATATATATTCTTTATTAGCCACTGTAAACCTTTATAGATAGCCACACTATCTCCCAACTGGAATCCATGCTGCTGCACTTGATACTTTTTCCACACCTGTCGATACACTAAAGCGGTGTTAAACTGGTCAGAGTGTGACTGAAAAAGAGAAGCATTTCAATGTGACAAATAACTGGCAACAAGGCTCATGTACCCACGATTCCATTTGCTTTATTTGAAGTTCTCGTCGAGCCTGACTCTGGGATGGCTTATAATACCGTTACACAAAGAAGCTTGTGAACAAAGTCTAGGAGTAAGGTGGCTTTTCTTTTTTTTTTTTACAAAGAACAATGGCGACACCCAACCTAAGACGCAAGGCAGGAAAGCTGCAGAACAAACCACCATTAGCCACCACTTCCTGGGGTTAACAACTGGCATAAACTGTAATCTTCCGTGGGAATTATGTGCTGCATCTAAAAACAACAGGAAAAACACTTAACCCACGAATATGTACATGACAAAAGAATCTACACAAAGCTTTGGGAAGTTTAATGTACAGCGATAACATGCCATTTTGAAACCTGTATTTAATTTCAATTGTGTTTTATGTAGGTAAGCACACTGTTGTTTTCTGTAGAAACATCTGGAATAGAGACAAGTCTTTTGGTTCTCACAGTGCAATTTTATAAGATGAGATGTTTTAGTGAAAGAGCCAAAAAATGTCCACTCCCAAGACATGTTTAATCCTGATTTGTGTGACCACACAATCTTTACCATGAAAGGCCATGGAAATTCTAGGGTAGTGGAGTGATTTAAGCACAAAAAGAAATTTGGAACATTGTGTTCAGAAGTCTCCACAATGTAATAGGTTGAGATGTCATACAGTTTAGCTGCTTGTCTTTGCATATACAGCACTAGGCTGTGGCTATGCTCACAAATCTCATGAATACCGTTAGGTCTGTGCCTGAAATCTGAACGAATCTGGTGAAGTGATAGCAAAGCAGCCTAAATAACTGCCCTTTCTAGGCCAAAAGAGTCAGGTTTTAGGATGTTGTTCTTCAGATGTTTCCTCCTGATAAGGCAGTTTCATTTCCCTGCTCCCCCCTGGTCTCACACAGTACAGGACAAGAAAACAGAATACAATACTAAAGACCCTCTCTACTACTTTTTCCACCACAATGAAAAAGAAAATCAGCTCCCCATGATCTGTACTTAGCTCTTGACAAATTAAACATTTTAAGATCATTTCCAAACCCTCCTGTTGTTTTGAATTGTGTGAACCCAAAGGAGGCAAAGGTTTTTTTGATCTGAGAACCAACTAAATGCAACTAAATCTAATAATAATAATAATAATTTGGATTTGAAGGAGTTTAGAGAAGGTGACTCCCTGATATCCTTGGGCAAAGAGTTCCAGAGCTTGGGGGCATAACAGGAGAAGGCCCTGTCACCCATACAATGTAGACGGGCTTGGGGGACAGTAAGGAGGGCAGAATTTGAAGAGTGGAGGTTGCGAGGTGGGGAGTAGGGCGATAATAGTTCAGACAGGTATTGAGGTGCCAAGCCATGTAAAGACATGAAGGCACAATATATTATGTATACCATGTGTAATCAACATTTAATATTTATTATTTTGTTGTATTCTCAGATAATCTATTGCTACATAATATATTCGTACAATATACTCTTACAGATTTCTGTTCATTATAAAATGACTAAGTGCCAAAGCCAGAAACATTCAGTGACCCTACCAGTGACCCATCATGTGTGGAGGGAGGATCTTCAGTGAAGCTTACCTGGCAGGCAGGTGCACTCGTAGGTGGTATCTCCTGTCTGCAGGCATGTGCCCCCGTTCTGGCAGGGCGAGGGGTTGCAAGGCACGTAGCGCACCTCGCAGTTCTTGCCCGTGTACTCCGGCAGGCACTCGCACTGGTACGAGCCGATCTGGTTGACGCACTGGCCTCCGTTGCGGCATGGCGATGGGTTCTGGGCGCATTCGTTGACATCCTGCTTGCAGGACTGCCCGTGGAAAGTCGGGGGGCACTTGCAAATGTAGTGGGCTTCAAAGGGGGTGCACAGCCCACCATTGGCACAAGGGTTAGAGGCACAGGGATCAGCCTGTTGGCACATTTGACCTGTAAAAAAACAAGAATTCAAGGTTGTGCATGTGGCCCACTGCACTGTTTAAGGATCCTAGTTTACAGATTTGTTCAAAACAAGTTGATGGGAGAAGCTGAAAGCATATCGACAACCCAGTAACAGAACCCATCTCACACTCACTGAACACAACTTCAAAGCACAGTAAATTCCTATTTAGACAATGTTTTTCTACAATTTGATGTTAAACCTGTATTCATCTTTGCATGATCCATAGGTTTCGCACATGACAGTTCTTAGCCCAACTATCCTATTGTATTCTGTTCCCTTGGTTTTAGTAATTCAGTTTGTCGTTACCTGACCACCCCGGAGGGCACTGGCACTTGTACTCAGTGAGACTGAGCAGGTCACATGTTCCTCCATTCTTGCAGGGAGAGCTCAGGCACACATTGTTGGTAGGTGTGAGGCAAAGCCGGTCCGTAAACCCGATGCGGCACTGACAGATGTAATCCACAGTGTTACCGTGGGTAACTACCCGGCATGTCCCAGCATTCTTGCACGGAGAGCTGAGGCAGGGGTTGGTAACCTGACATCTGCTGCCCGCATATCTGTCAGTACACCTGGAAAGACAGGCAAAGAAATACAGTTTGTATGAGGAGGCAGCTGGAACAACAGAAGTCTGCTCCATTAGTTTAAATTCCATGTGCTCTACGTCTGCTAAAACGTTGCTTCTATGTGAGAAATGTGTGCTTCAACATAATTGGGTCATAAAATCTGTGGGGTAGGATCAGGATTTCTGCAAACAAATGACAAACAAAAAGCTGTAATTTAAAGGTTCAAGCAAATCAACGAATTCAAGAATCACTGTTGTGCACACATTGCTTCTTAATCTTCACTCAAAACTTAGTTTACTTCTGGTATTTTCACATTTTCATACAGGGCATCCAAGTCTATATCTTTAACCCAGGCTTTGTCTTTTGACTGTCCTATTTTACAGTGAAGAACTACTCCTCTGAGACTGACTCCTCAGCGCCATCTGTGCAGGACCGCTGCAGTTACTGATTGAGGTGTGTGCGCTGCAGTGCTGTGCCGGGCTAAAGCCATGAGGAATGGAACACTGCATGGGAATCCCTGCGAATGGAGCCGATACTCCACTTAACCACCTGTTCCCCTCATTCCCCGCAGCACAGAGCTACTAATAAATCACAAGTACAAGAAAAGACCCACTCATTAATGCCGATGACGCATGAACAAAGACATTCGGGGTCACTGGCCGCATGTTCCTTTGGTGACTGTCAGTGTCAGTGTTGCTTCACTGGTTTAAATCAATTTACATGATCTTTAATCAAGAACACCTTCCCATCTAAATCATTCATTGCAATTCCCTGTACCATGCTTAACTTTAGGACTGGTACTTTTCTCAAGCTCAGTCTGCCACGAGCAACTGCCAAATCTGGACACAAATCACATTATTATTATTAATAATAATAATCCTTACACTTATATAGTGCTTTTCTAGACATTTCACTCAAAGTGCTTTACAGGTAATGGGGATCCCCTCCACCACCACCAATGTGCAGCATAACCTGGATGGTACGATGGCAGCCAGAGTGCACCAGTACACTCCCCACACACCAGCTCTCAGTGGGGAGGATGGAGCCAGTTTAGAGATGGGGATTATTAGAAGTCCATGATTGGTAAAGGCCAGTGGGAAATTTGGCCAGAACGCCGGGGTAACACTCCTACTCTTTGAGAAACGCCCTGGGATTTTTAATGACCACAGAGAGTCGGGACCTCAGTTTTACATCTCATCCGAAAGACAGTGCCTTTTTACAGTATAGTACCCCTGTCTTGTTTGTGCTGCAGCCTGGAATTCTTTACCTCAGTACTGTTAGATAGGCAGTCACAGAACAAGCAATCAGCATTTTTTTCCCCAGAAGCAACATCAATTCATACTACCTGTCCCCAGTAGTATGGTAGCACTTTGCTAAAATGGCTGTAGCTCTCTCATTTCCTTATCAAGGACTGGTACAACTTGCAAATTAAGGATAAACTAAGGATGAATTCAGAAAGGAGTTATCACAACAAACAACAATTTGACTTGTTAACCTTGATTTCTTTCCAATGAAAGGGATTTCACATGATGGGCCGCTGTAGACTTGTTGGTACATTTGCAAACACAATGACTCTCCATAAACAACAGTAGGTCCCCTGAGGCCTAGTCAGACCTAACAAAGAGATTGCCTTCCACCACTCTCTGGCACAGATACTGCCAACACAATAGGATGATCAGCAGTCCTACGTAAGTAAACACATGCTAATGTCTGAGCTGCACATAGAGACACAAAACAAAGGCAACAGCAGGACTAAAACAAAGGTGTGAAATGGTCACTGAAGTCACCATCTGTTACCAGGAACTTAAAGGATGTTTGTTACCTTTTGTGGCAGAAAGGTATTTACTACCCTCAGGAACATGCTATAAAAGATCCTAAAAATCACCACAGACAAGGATAGTTTTGTATCCAGTATCAAAACATGAAGATTTCATAAAATGCTCCTTTTGGTTTTGTAAACAATGAGGTATCTGTGGAACTGTTGTGTTCTGGAAGAACAACAGAAACAGAAAACAACACAAAACGGAGGCCACCAAAAACACAGAAGAGAAAAAGAGCACATGGTTTTGGTGCTTAAATAAAAACAACACACAATACACTTAATACAACACAACAACACAACACAACACAACACAACACAACACAACACTTAATACAGAACTTCATTCAGTAAAATATTGGCAATTTGAAACAAAACATTCCTGCAAAAATACACGCTTTATCTGAAATCTGTCAGATCAGGGCTCGGAAGTCTTTCTATTCTGGTCGACAATTATAATTCAGTTTCAAAAGAAAAGGGGGGAAAGAGGCAAGCTGCTGTCAACGGCTCTCAGGCAAAAATCCGCTCGGCTTCAGCCTTTTCTCCCCCAAGCCCATTCTTTCAAAATACAAGGCAGTGTCTATTCCAAAGTCTTTGAACTCTGAGCTAACATTATCATACTTCAAAGCTCAGTTTTCAACCTCAATACCTTATATTCTTTTACTTGTAAAGGCTTCTCCTGCACTGAACAAAAAAAGAAAAACAGACTTCTCTACAAACTTTTTGAAGAGGCCTATACAGTCTCCACAAACAGGTCATAATGGATCGGTTTTGGCACACCAGCAGAACAAGCCCTTGCCGTTTGCCCACAAGGATACAAAGCTATTATTTTTCCCCAGTGTTGACAGTGCCGAAATCTGCAAATGACTGAAAAGCAAATGGTGCTGGAACTACTCCAAAATGGTGCCACAATTTCCCCAATGGTTGGCATGTCGCTTCTAGATTAAAGCAGGAACAACACAGGCTCACCGGGGGGGGACTTATGATGTTTTTACAGAGTCTCCGGGGATTTTGATCCCCTACACTCCTTTCTTGCAAAACAAAACACTGCACTGGCTGCCTGCCCTGGACAATAACACAACTGGGACATTTGGCTCCCTATTTTCTCAGTACTGGGCATCTACCTCTCCATTCTCTGTCCTCTTCTATTCCATCTCCTCATTGGAGATCAAGCCACATGGAGTAACATCACCAACCCAAGTTGATTAATTCTTTTAAGGCGTTCTGTGCACAGCTGCGCCTTCCCTAGACATGGAAAGTCACAGCAGGCTGACCCTAGCCGAGCACTGAAAGAACAGACGGAGGTCCTTTTGTTTTCAATGGTGTGCTAACCATCTTGACACTAATGAATGGTGAAGCTCCAATGTACGACTCTCTGGACAAAGCCACTCCTGAAATAACTTTAGCTTCAACATCTATTCCTTTTGCCTCTTCTTTCTTAGAACCTCACTGCTACAAATGTTTTTCTATTTGTTTAAGCAATGGAAAAAAGGCCACGTTTACGGCTTTAAAAAAAATACAGCTGGTGCTTTTGATCAACAATGAGTTGACATAAAACAATGGCTGAATGATCCATCGTCAGAAAGAGGATGTGAAGAAATCTAACACAACATGGTGATGTGGATATCCAGTGTGGGGCTTATCTGATGGAATTCATTTGCATGCTGCCAGGAAATACCGACAAGAACAGCCTCTCAGATGCTTTCCTTCTGTCAAATATGAATCCTTGCGATGTATGATGTATAAAGTTGTTCAGAGTTTTGGAGAATTATGCAAGGATTCCTGGACATCCAAAGTAATGTGATTAGATTATCTCAGCCAAAGACAAAAGGAGGTGGTGTGGGACAGATGAAGCCGGGCATCTGCTGGCCTCCCAGAAAGGCCAGGGGGAGCAGGTGCGCATCTTAATGAGCGGACGGCAGCTGCTAGCCGGCCTGCCACCAATCCCACTCGGAGCCGCGCTCTCCGAGGACAACACAAAAGGGCAGGGCTGCTCGGCGGCTGAATGGCGTCCCTGCCGCGGGGAGCGGGCGGGCGGGTTTCAGGCCTGCCGTCTTTATGAGTGGGCCCATTGTTCCCGCAGCCTTTCAGAGCTGACCGAAGGCATGTCGACTCCTAACTGCTAGAGTGTGCATTCAGCTGTTAAACCTACCAGCTCTCCCCAGTTTTTTTTTCTTCGTTTTTTTTTCTTGGTACCACTTCTGGCCCTCTACAGAGTTCACACTTGCCTGCAAGCACAGCGATACGACACTAGAATTTCAACAACTTCGTCCAGTCCTCCCCCCGCCACACACAAACACACATAGAAAAACAAAATATCCTTCTAAAATGTGCAGCGGCTTTACTGTGTTTTTTTGACTGAAAAAAATGAAAAATGAGACACTGCTGAGGGGTAACGTGACATAAACGCTACTCTCAGTTTAAACACAAAGAGGTGTGAAATCCTGTGGTGTGCTCTCCTACTTTGTCAGACAATTTTGTTGTAAAAAAACAGCCTTTTGTAAAATAATTCCCAGGCAACTATGGTTACTCCTAAAACTTGATACAGGGCAAAAAAGCAAGTGTATACAAGAAGACCACCTGACTGCATGTTTCCAACTTTCCAAGACAGCATATTTTGAAACCCTGTAAAAAACATAACTGCCCAGTTTATTTAGTAACCAAGAAGCTTTTTGAAGTAACGCCTGAACCTAAAGACCAAACAGAAAGAGAGAGGCATTCACTGCAATGCTTATTTTAGAGTCATCCATTGTATTTGTATAATATATCGAACTATCTGCAAGACTCAGTTCAGTGTACCAACTCCCATAAACCTATGGGGATAAAGAGAAAAATGCAGACCGGTCTTCCCTGACTCATCCACCAATTCAGCCACTCATCGTTGACGTACTTCAAGCTCTGCAGTGATGTGGAGGAGGTTCAGTGCTGATTGGTGCAGAGCTGCATCCATCACTGAAAGCTTGCAGGCACACAAGAAGTCACAAGGGGTTACTGGTTTGCTGGGAACCAAGAGCCCCCTGCCTGACTAATCCCAACCTTTCTGCCCTGTGGAATTCTGGTCACAGTCAACTAGGCATGTTACTCAGGCTCAAAATCGCAATGCTCAAACTAGGCTCTGCACTAGCACCTCTTCCCAGTCAAGATACCTAGGAATCCCACATAAATTGAATTTAAGAAGAGCTTAAAA